TCAATTTATTATGATAAGTATTTAGGCTGCATTCGAAAAGGCTCTATCTCTAGATACATAATTAAGAAACGACCTTTTATCTTGTGAACTATTGAAATTTTCAAAGATATAAGCGCACCCTGACATTACACTCATCGAATCCTTTCGTTGAGTACCGAAATCAATTTTTCATATAATTATATATATGTATGTATGAAAAATATATCAAAAATGCATATGGGTACTCAAATTAAAGCTCTTGATGAGTGTAACATCGGGATGAGCTTATATCTTTAAAAACATCAATAATTAAGAAAGTACAGTGCAATTTAACATAATTGAGAAATGACCTTGTATTTTGTGAACTATTTACATTTTTTAAGATATTAGCTCAGCCCGACATTACACTCATTGAGACCTTTCATTTGAGTAGCCAAATCAATTTTTCATATATTTATATACATCATGTATATGTATATATGAAAAATATATGAAAATGCATGTGGATACTCAAATGAAAGCTACTGATAAGTGCAACACCGGAATGAGCTTATATTTTAAAAAATATCAATATTTAAAAAAGTACAGTGCAATTTAACATAATTAAGAAATGACCTTGTATTTTTTGAACTATTGACATTTTTTTAGATATAAGCTCATCCCGGTGTTACTCTTGTCAAGAGCTTTCATTTGAGTACCCACATGCATTTTGACATATTTTTCATATATACATATGTATAATATATATAAATATATGAAAAATTGATGTGGGTACTCAAATGAAAGGTTTCGATGAGTGTAATGTCAAGATGAGCTTATATCTTTAAAAATGTCAATAGTTTACAAGATACAAGGTCATTTCATAATTGTTAAATTACACTGTACTTTCTTAACTATTGACATCTTTAAAGATATAAGCTCATTCCGGTGTTACACTGGTCAAGAGCTTTCATTTGAGTACCCACATGCATTTTGACATATTTTTCATATATACATATATATAATATACATAAATATATAAAATATATAAAAAATTGATGTGGCTACTCAAATGAAAGGTTTCGATGTGTGTAATGTCAGGATGACCTTATATCTTTAAAAATGTCAATAGTTCACAAGATACAAAGTCAATGAAATTTTTTTAATTATTAGATGTTTAGTTAAATTATAAAAATTGATCAAATTTTTATCCGAGAAATTTAACATATTTTTAAATAAAAATATATCAACTAATATTAAAAGATTATGATCAACTTTAAATAACTAAAACTGTCACGAACAATTTATTAA